TATAGTGTTTCCATGATTTTTATGTTAAAATTTGACAATACATGGACAGATTTAATAAAACGTATCAAGGAATAAGTTGATCAACTGAAGTCTGTAAACCATCCATGCTCCTTATTAATTAAGGGTGTGTGGTAATACCTGAATATCGGTAAATTGACCGTCATTCTTTCCACGATGGGTATCACAATATCATTTGTGAATGCTTGGTGTATCGGGCGATTTCAAATAGCAACTTTTATCATGTGTTTAAATGTTATATACCGTATTCGAAGTAATAAGCGCCCCGCTCTAATAAGCGCCCACAGCGATATTTGCTAATATATATTGGATAGTGAACAATCCCAATTAGCACCCCTTCCGATTGATCAATGTACACAAGACTTATTTATTCGTGTATAATACGCACTAGGTGTGTTATATGCATCCTTATTATAAGGGCAATTAAATTCTGGAAAATATATCTGTTATGTATGATACATGATTCTATTACAAGGTACACAGGGTTATTTATCTATCGTGAAGACGTCCGATTTTCGATCACAAATCACTTAATTTCGTTAATTCGACATACTCGTTAATCCGACACAATCATGTGCAACCAACGATGTCGGATTAACGAGACTTGACTGTACTTTCTTATGTATCATTTCAGGCTGTCAGCAAAAACCACGACATTTACGATCTTTCAACTCTTTTTTCTTACCAAAATTATATTCAAATAAGAGCCCCCCTATTTCTAATTTTGAGAGCTCCCGGGCGCTTATTACGTCGAATACGGTACTTGGCAAATGCCTTCGCATCTCTGGAGCAAGCATCTGGGTCCCCAAGATGGCACAGCACAAGTTAACCTCTGATCAATAAAACACCTGTTTTCTATTTGTTTATTACTTTTACAATGGCATATTGAAACATGTTGGCAAGATTAATTTGTTGTAGCTGTATCACTGAGGGTATATGTGGTTTTATGAGTCCCCTGTTATGTTTTACGCTATGTACTTCCGGGTCATGGTATAAAACCTAACGTGAGATGCATAAAACCACATAAACCAGTCAAGTCCCGTTAATCCGACATAATCGGTCATAGTTCACGAAAGGTTCTTCTGACGTGACCTTGTCCATCGATGACAGGTTTTTATTTAAATTAAATATATGTATAAATAATGTAGAATTTCTCGTCACGATATGGCTGAAATATTGCCGATCAGACGTAAAGCATAAACTCACTCACTCACTCGCTTTGACATGACCTGTAATCTGATTTTAATGAGATTGAGGTAATCTAAGCATGTGATTAATCCCATTTTCTTTATTTAAAGCATTAATTGTTTATTGTTAAGCATAGTTTATTTCTGCAGCTTTGTAATATGCAGCTACCAGCTGACTCGCCTCACATCAAAACACGAATGTGTATTCGCGGGCAGATGACCATGGAGTATGCTGATCACTGTGTCGGATTAACGAGACTGATTAATAAGTGATTTTGGTAATTCGTTGCAAATTAGGTGTGTCGGAGTTGGAGTGCGAGACTGTCGGATAAACGGGTCTAAAAAGCACTGATTTAATCGGTTCCCATCATTAGTGTCGGATAAAGCCGATTGTCGGATTAACGAGCAGCGGATTAACGAGACTTGACTGTATATACTTGAGAGTAATACTGCTACAACTTTATCGTTCTGACATGTACACCTAGTGAGACTACCACAACTTAAGTTTGTTTGGGACACGAAACACTCTAATTACTCATGGGGTTAGAAATAACAGAGTTCATAAAAGTCGTAAGTGCACTTGTGCAAATATCAATTCATTTGCACCAGTGTATTGTTTTCGTCATTCCAACGACAAGTGTTGACGTAATTCAAATCTTATTGAGACATTAGATTGGAATGACGTCACACTAGACACGAGTCATAGCTGTTGATTATTGACGCATTCGACAATTGTGGTTTTCTGAGTCATGATCAGTGCATTTTCTTTCTAAAGGGGAGCTAAAAAAAAAGTAAGACTTAAAACATAATGGTTATAAAGACATTATCATACTCGCATATGTGTCACACTGGTTTTATGCAACTCGCTGTAGAGACAATGCTAAAGTTAGGAAGTTACGATACTATCGCTCGGGAAATACAAGAATTCTGACACTCGTTTCGTAAAATCAGTATGACACACATACTCATATAATAATCTTTAAGTATAGCTCCTCCTTTCTATCAGAAGAATTGTATGTCTTAAAGCACTAAATGAAAACATATTCCATCTCAAACAAAAGATCCACCACCATCAAAACCATGACAGAATATTGAATAGTCAATCCCTTAGTGGCAAGCAAAGTGGAAAATAAACAACTGTGACACTTGAGATTCACTCATATATAGCAAAGTAGAGTTTAAGTCAGTAAACCCAAATATTAGGGTAGGTTGATCAGTTAACAAACAAAAACATCTGATTCTGGGTTTGCGAAAATATTTTTTATCCATGTTAAAATGACATGCTGTAACCATTACATGCAACTGTTTTCTAGATGGCCAATGCCACTGCAAGATGGCTTGAGAACAAAAAATATTTTTTTCAAGCTCACATACAATAACAGTCTCAGGAAAAACATAGTTTCAAATACAATGTAGTTGTAAGGTAAATATCACCATTGGACGGCACAAACTATAACAACCAATACAGTGAAAAATTATGTAGACATATATGTAAAATGTGGTTAATTATGCATGTGATTGCAATCTATTAAAACACGATAAATAGAACATGTTTTACTACAAAAATACAACTAATAATTGCCAATTAGGTGCCACAATACTGTATAGATATGTGTCCATATTAATCATGACATTTATATTTATAGTTTTACCCTGGAATCTAGCCCTGTTTCCACAAGAAGTATATCATGTTTACAATGAACAAGAGTATTAATGTCTTAGTGCTACAAATGTTATAAGTCAATACTTAAATTAGGAAGTTACGATAGTCTTAGTGCTACAAATGTTATAAGTCAATGGTTAAGTTAGGAAGTTACGATAGTCTTTGTGCTACGACTGCTGTAGGTCAATACTTAAGTTAGGAAGTTACGATAGTCTCAGTGTTTTGACTGTTGTAGGTCAATACTTAAGTTATGAAGTTGCGATAGTCTTCTTGCTAAGACTACTGTAGGTCAATACTTAAGTTAGGAAGTTACGATAGTCTTTGTGCTACGACTGTTGTAGGTCAATTCTAAAGTTAGGAAGTTGCGATAGTCTTCTTGCTACGACTGTTGTAGGTCAATACTTAAGTTAGGAAGTTACGATAGTGTTCGTGCTACGACTGTTGTAAGTCAGTGAATAGGTATAGGAGTTACGAACAACACCCTTCTGCATTTACAAATGTGAAAATAGCTATTGATGTGTACCTGTCAATCTCTAATAATCGTATCTCGTTGAAACGGATCAAATGAGACCTGACTGAAAGCTTGGTCAATGATATGTAGGTGCTCAAAGAAAACAGTGAAAAACACCTATAAAACCATCATATGATATCAGAAACCTAAATATATATCATACACAGGGACATTAAGGACTATAGGCACAGGATTGCAATACAAGTAAAGATCTTATATTTCAGTTATGACACTTATGACCATCCTCAATAATCCAGGGTATTATATCTGAACACTGTAACGAGTGAGTGACTGAGTGAGTGAGTTGGTTTTAACACCACTTTGAACAGTATTCCAGTCATGTCACGGCGTGTCAGCTTCATGTGGGAGGAAAGCCCGAAGTGATGCAGGTCTTATACGTTTACTACATTGAGGAAACCCACAAGCATGGGGCTGGTGCGGACAATCCTAGAAACATAATCGGGGGAACTGGGATTCAAACCAACAATCAAAGGTTTCTGGCATGCCCATGGAACACAACTCTGCACAGCGAATTTTGACGCCTTAGACAACTGGGCCACCCATGCCCCCAATTCCATCATGACAAATAACCTTGACTCATTGTGAGCCCAATTCAAATAGCACAACACAAAAAATGGCTGTGCAGAGATGTGATGTTCCTTCCAACAAGAAGCAATGGTGGCAAAAGGGTATTTATCACAAAGAAGACAAATACAGTGGATAAACAAAGATGTCAAAAGTGTTCAGTGAGACCCTCTTATTGTTTATAGTCATTTTGGAGACATAAATGTGAAGTTTAGTTAATGTGAGCAAAAGACCACTCGCATTTTGCACATTTAATTGACGACTGCATTAATTTCAAGAATTACAGTACACCAATACAATCAAGTCCTGCCCAATACAATCAAGTCCTGCCAAATACAATCAAGTCCTGCCCAAACTTGCTACCGATACAATGTGATCAAGATGATCACAGTACAAATCACAGTCGACAAACAATACAAGACACTAACAAGTAATTTGTTCTTCCCCAAATTGCACCAGTATAACATCAGATATGGCACCATCGTAAACCTCAGTACATGCATGATGAAGGCACAACTAACAAGTCCCTCAACAGTAGCTCCACCACAGTATTACCCATAGTAAGCACCCTCGGTGCTTGGAAAATTGTGTTAATATGTGTTATCTCACACCTGGAGAGATATAATGTGTATACTCCCATATCTCACAGTGTGCAGTGTTAGTGTGTGGTATATCACTCCTTGAGTGATATATTAATGTGTATACTCCAGTATCTCACAGTGAGCAGTGTTAATACCGTATTTTCTTGAGTATAGTGCGCACCCATGTATAATGCGCACCCCCCTCTAGCGGGTTCAATATTTTGGAAAAAAAGAAATTTGAATATTATGCGCAGAAAAAATTTACACCGTATCCTTTCAGCGAAGTCCGGCAAACGAACGGGTGCTGAGAAACTTCGTCAGTACAAATTCGAAATTTGAGATAAAAAATCACCAGACATGTTGATTTACTGTTTAAATAGTATTTATTGTTCTGCTAGGCATTGTTTTATATCTAGGGTTTAAGATTACCTTGTGTATTTTCTCGTAAACTAAGCCGGACACAGCAATCAGCTGTACACACGTTTTCTTGGAATCGACCGGTGATTCGGTCAAGACACACCCAATGATATCACTTTATAGGATTTTTAATGCAAGGCCGGTATGTGGTATCTCACACCTGGAGAGATATAATGTGTATACTCCTATATCTCACAGTGTGCAATGTTTATATGTGGTATCTCACACCTTGAGTGATATATTAATGTGTATACTCCGGTATCTCACAGTGTGTAGTGTTAATATGTGGTATCTCAGGTTAAATTCTCCATCTTCTCAACTGATGTGCTCACAGAAAATAAACATCACACATATCACATCACAGTACAATTTGGCTCTGTGAGACTAAAGGCAAGTGATGTAAGTTTGAAATCACAGTCAGTCAATCAAAATATACAAACATACTCCTCAATAACGAGACAGAACAGAAATGTCAGAAAGCCGACCAGAAAGGTACATTATTTGTGCCATCAATTTGGTCCCATCATTCCTTATCACATCACAACAAATAGATATCAGCCAAAACACAACAACAAAGCACTATTTGACATCAGCTCTTCCTTATGATGATAACATATAGCAAAACCCTTAAAAATAGCAAACTTCTTCTCGTCCTTATGATACCTTAATATAACTATTGGGCAGTTTGGCAAGGACTACAGGACTAGTGCCAAAATCTAACGCTGGATACGAACAGACTGAGTATAACAATTTGTTTGACTCCTTACTTATGCATAACCAGCACTCGCAGATCTAGAGGGAGGTGCAGAGGGGTGCAGGGGGGTGCATTCCCCCTTTTCAGACACCCTGAGTCAGCCCCTTGAAAAGAAATTCACTTTCTGAAGTATGCATGCTACCATTGTCAAAATGGATCCGCGCCTGCCCAGTGATTAAAATCCCCATCCAATACAAACACAAATGACAGCCAGCTTATCACAAGAAAATACCTATCAATATTCATAAACTATTACCATAGATACTGAAATATTAACAAGAGTGGAACCTCATACAAGGCATGAAAACATGACACTTTGTATGGAACAAGGGAGACTTCATTCGACATCAACATGAAGATGAGGCTATAAGTGATGCATTCATGTTCTTCCAACTTCTAAATGTCCATCAAAGACTTCCTCATACAAGGCAGTTCTAAGGGATAAAGTTGTTCACAATGTTGACAAGAGCTTTGACCACTCAATACTATGGTATAAAGTCCCCAATCATACTGACAAGGTGATCTACAAATAATCAGGCAAGAAATGTAAGTGAGCTGGGTCTAAAGGGACAGTACGAACATCAACGGTTCTGTGTGTTTTTAAATCATGCATGAAATAATTTTCGAGTGTGACATTACTTGCCCGACTCATTTCTCCAACCAAAACAAAAGAGCTCTACACAGTGAAGTTGAAAACGCAAGCGCCGTGCAGAGTAAACTGGCTTCAGTCTAGTTTTTTTAATAGAGAAAGCTTGTGTGTTTTTCTTACGGATGAGTTACAAAATACTAATTGCCGTAGTAAGCCAGTCACTCGATCTCCACCTCGTCACATCTTACACAGCTCATTCATGTGTTTTTCAAGTTTCATTTTGTACAAGTCTACAAGATAAACATAATCCTAAAACATGAAACACAATTTCCATTTGCGTAACGGTATTTATCCTTCACATCCTGTTCTCAAAGCTCTAATGAGCTCCGATAGTCAATATATCTATATTGTCATGCACCTTACTGTCGCAGTTGTACTAGTGTATCTATAAAATTACGCAAAACAATATGTAAAGTGCACCGAAAGTGTTCTTATTTCAGAATAAGTGCGTAAGTTTACAAACAAGAGAAAAGTCTTGTGACGTGATAAGCTTACACCCGCGGTGTGGTCACTGGAGCAGAAACGGAATAAGCTCGGGGGTTATCGTCTATTGTTCACAAACATATCTTCAGAAGGTCGACATCATGTTCTTTTAATGTCATTTTTAAACTAACAGAAAAAGGTGGCCATCATGTTGACAAGGTGATCCAAGGATGACCAGGCAATACTAAGGGATAACGTTGACCACCCTGTTGACAAGGTGATCCAAGGATGACCAGGCAATACTAAGGGATAACGTTGACCACCCTGTTGACAAGGTGATACACGGATGACCAGGCAATACTAAGGGATAACGTTAGCCATCCTGTTGACAAGGTGATCCACGGATGACCAGGCAATACTAAGGGATAAATTGACCACCCTGTTGACAAGGTGATCCACAGCTAGATGATGGCAACTGGGTATGGCAGCAGATATCTTGACTAGGTCGGCCATTGCTAGAACTGTGACCTCCTGGAGAGTTGTCCTTTCTTCAGTTCCATCAGTTGAATGCCCATATTGAAGGAGCCGGCCAGGACACTGGAAATAGTTGCTTGTAATCATCAGTCATGCTATTCCACGCAGCTACAGTCAGAGTGTAATGCCATAAGAGTAAGTACAGAACTGTGCCAAAGTAAAACATTACAGGATCCAGAATATAGTCTGGCTGGTTACATGAGTGAATTCATCTTCCCCAGGCAAGGGAGTTAACTGACGATAAAAGTCCAGTTTCCACCCTTGCCAAACTAGGCTGGTATTATGGGGTTACATTTTGGCTGGGCTGACAAGTCTATGCATAGTCAACAGATATTTTCTAAATCTTTCTATGTTTTTAATCAAGGTGCTCATGTGATTTGATGCACTTCGCATTGTAAGACTTTTTTTATCACAATATAGTTCTTGATTATTGATCAGATAGTCTTGACTGGGCGCCGCCATTTCGTTTGAAGCAAAGGTGGAATTTGATTAGTCCATTTGAGAGGCATAGAAGGGACATAACTCATAAAAGCCACAGGTGGCGCTACGATCGAGCCCAGGAATTCCAGCCTAGTTCGGCAAGGGTGCACGTGGAAACTGGACTTTTAAAGTCAGTTAACTCTCTTGCCTCGGGAAGATGGAGTGAATTAGGTCTGGGATGAGACCTTGGGGCCACCTATAACTATAACTATGACTTTTAAACTAGGGTGATGACAAGGACCCCAGTACTTTTATGCTTATTTCAAACACTGCAAAGTATTGTACTGCAAAAGGCCTACACTCACCTGGATTAACGTATGTCACTGGCATACTGATATTGGGAAACACCACTGAGTTTAAAGGAAAAGCATGCTCCTCTATCTGGTGCAGCGTTTGAAATGGTCTCAAATATTGCTGGCCATGTGGGCTAGCTTGCCTTAAAAGTTACAAGCCAGTTTCGGATTTCACAAGCTTAAAAATGTAACAGTTGATTTACATCCCCGCAATGTTTGAAATGGGTAGTCAAAGTTTTTAGTTAACACAGCTTGTGATTGGTTAACTACAAATTACAACCAATCAAAACATGTTTGTTATACACAGTGTTACAGTGACAACAATCACTCAAACAAGATGAAAGAGGATAATTCTAATCGGGCTACATGCATCATTTATGTTTATTTAATTTTGGGGTTGATAGTCGTATTGATCTAGAGAAATTAGAGAACTTTATTTATTCAAATCAAATAAGAGTTGTGCATAAAATAATCCCTTTTAAAATTTCAGTAACAAAACGGGCTTGGGATATTTCAGAATCTTTAGCCCGATTGAAATATTGCTAGCCACAGGTTAGCGGGCAGGTGGCTATTTCGCACACTGAACTGGTGATCATTTACTGCTTAGAATTAAACATGTAAAGGTCATTTGATGGATGTACATCAAACTTGCAATGCTGCCAATTAGTCGGGCCTAGTCTCCCTTAAAGGTAACACACTGTGGTAATTGTTAAGTGATGAAACAAATTCTTTATGTTGAGCGTCTTGACTATCTTAGAATTTATGATTCAAGGGAGATAACTCACCTGCCGTCCTCGTATGCCAGAAGAGAGGTGATTGGTCCAGCACCGCTGATCGACAAATCTGACACTAGAGCTGGAAGTAGATTTAATTATTAGAATTTTATTTGAAGAATTTAGGAGATAAACATTATGCGTTTTCAGATTTGGGTTTTTTATTGAGTATTTGATGCCCAAAATGTCCAAGTACTAAAGTGAAATGGCCGGTCATCAAATACTCAGTAAAACACATAATCAGAAAACACATAACGTCTATCAAAGTACATAAGTTATCTATGTGACCTCCCATATTTGTGAGTCAGACATGACATCACCCTGGAATGTGATGACATCATGATACAATATATGACATCACATGTTTCCATGAAAACTCAAATCACCAGTTCGCAAAATGTGGAGAAAAAAATCTAAATTGAAGTTGTTCTGATAAATACTGATCAACAGATCAAACTTAATATATAATTACCGTGGTATCTATTTTGCCAAGACAAATTTCACGCTTTTCAAATTTGGGATTGAAGAAATATATATTTATCATGTACCGTGAAGATCGGGGATAGAATGGGTCAGGATCCATGCTTGCCGTAAAAGGCGAATATGTTTGTCATAAAAGGCGACTAAAGGGGTTGGGTGCTCAGGCTCGCTGATTTGGTTGATCCATGTCATCGTATCCCAATTGCGCATATCGATGCTCATGATATCAATCATTGGTTTGTCTGGTCCAGACTCGACCATTTACAGACCGCTGCCATAGAGCTGGAATATTGCTGAGTGCAAGTGAATATTCAAGGAGATTTCTGGGCTCTGTATCCCATTTAGTCCGATTTAATCAACCAACACACACTCCTATTCGTTTTATACTACTTTTCGTTCATAGGACTATAGTTAAACTGTCATGGCATAACAGATTAACTATATTCATATGACAGAATCCAGCGGTCCTTAACTTCTTTTGAGTAGCATACAATCAATCATGAACACACAGGTGATTGCAAAAGAGCTGTTTGTGTCGTGTCTCTGGATTTCATGTTTCTGTGGACGAAGGTCTCTCATGGGTTACAGCCTAACCTCAAACTTTTGACCAAAAAAATCAATCCGGCACCATGGCCAATTCCTGGGACACTATGGTATATCAGGCACCATGGCCAAATCCTGGGACACTATGGTATATCAGGCACCATGGCCAAATCCTGGGACACTATGGTATATCAGGCACCATGGCCAAATCCTGGGACACTATGGTATATCAGGCACCATGGCCAAATCCTGGGACACTATGGTATATCAGGCACAATGGCCAAATCCTGACACACTATGGTATATCAGACACCATGGCCAATTCCTGGGACACTATGGTATATCAGGCACCATGGCCAAATCCTGGGACACTATGGTATATCAGGCACCATGGCCAAATCCTGACACACTATGGTATATCAGGCACCATGGCCAAATCCTGACACACTATGGTATATCAGGCTAATGGCCAATTCCTGGGACACTATGGTATATCAGGCACCATGGCCAAATCCTGGGACACTATGGTATATCAGGCACCATGGCCAATTCCTGGGACACTATACTATATCAGGCACCATGGCCAAATTCTGGGACACTATGGTATATCAGGCACCATGGCCAATTCCTGGGACACTATATGTTACGGTCAAAATAACATCTCTAAAATAATTCCTATTTATTTTTCCAAATTATTAAAGTTTAGATTTTTCCTAAATTTTCATTCCAAATTTAGCATGTAAAAGATTATTATTTTATGCATGCTTCAGGAGTTTAGCCAAGGAAGGTTACTCTGTTTAGGTTGCATGCCATGCATGCTTTTTAGTTTCTCGAAGGAGAGAATGAGGACCCATGTGGTCAGTGACAAAAAGGCAAAAAGTAAAGGTGAGAGAAGAATATGGGTCAACCAAAATGATATGTTGTCATGCATTTGTATTTCTTTTCCATTGTCAATATATTTCTGTAGCAATTTATTTCCCAAATTGTTGTATTTGTAACTTTTCTGAAGTAATGATAATGTGTTCAGTTTTCAATCACTAATGTATACATTCTTTCTGTGCAAATGCTATTATCTTGTCACAATTTAATGTCTTTTGTCAACTTTTGTTGTTTTAGTAATTGTCATACAGTGTTATTGTTTTGTTTACTTATTGAACTGCAAACTTATGATTGTTTACTTTTCCTTTGCAGTCAATCTTCCAATTCAAAAGAGGTTATTTATTGACAATTGATGATGAGATGAGACTGAGAATGAAGATGGAAATGGAAATGAGAATTGTTCTTTTGTTCTAGGATGAATTGACATTTATTGTGATCCTTACACTATGGTATACCAGGCACCATGACCAATTCCTGGGACACTATGGTATATCAGGCACCATGGCCTAATCATGCAATACCACTGTTTAACAGATTGTTTCCTTGCCTTTTGTGTCTCTGTTCCAGACCTTGATGGTGCAGTCTCTCGAAGCTGTGGCCACAAGGGGGAGGTCGCTGCTCGGGAGGAATATACACGCCTCAATGGCTTCTATGTGACCCTTGAACTCATGGATTAAAGATCGACTTCTTAGATCCCACAGCTGAATTAAAAAACAAATCATAGAGAAAGATAGAACTCACTAATCCTCACTCAAAATGGGAGAAACACAGAACTCACTCACTGACAAAACCTGCATGTCGTATCTTTCACACATGATAATGGTAACACCAAGACAACTTCATCGTCTTGATCTTAGTACTACTAGCAAGTCCATTTATAATGCGCCAAATTCCACCTAAGTGAGTGTTCATGGTGCTATACTATTAATATTACCCCAGTCCATGAATCAGTGTGCACTCAATTTTCATTCTTGAGTCCCCGCTGTATTCCGCGGACAAAAACTTCTGCTGTCAGTTTTTATCAATTCTGCAACTATTTTTTTATAATTTTTATTATTTCAGCTTAGGTTTCGTGAATTCTGTAGTTATGCACCTTGCATTTGCTATTTTTATGACAAACTTATCCACATCTAGAATTGCTAATTGAAGTGAATCTGGAGATCCCGAGTGGAAACATACAGGCATGCACTTTTAGAAAGCAATAAGACAAAATGCAACTTCACTTCAAAACAAAATAAATATCCGTTTATACATATAAAACCAGTTTTCGACTGACATGTTAAAATTCGGCAGTCTATTTGACGAATGCTTCATTAGATAAATGTCAAATCCTGCACAAGTTCTGCACAAAATGTGATTTTCGCCCCGAATGGGCATTTCTTCAAAACACTACACCACCACGGAATACAGCGGGAACTGATTCTCAACTCCCTTGGAATCATACAACCCAAGCCACCTGTGAGGTGCCAGAAGGTTAACAATCACATTACCATCTCATCCTACCCGGTACTAATCACTGCTGGGTGAACAGAGGCATATTCAGGAAAAAGTCACTTTTCTAAGGCGACACCACATGTGCTTCAGTGTGGGGCAGACCCATGAAGATCCGGGGTAGAATAGGTCTTCAGCAACCCATGCTTGCCGTGAAAGGCAACTAACGGGATCGAGTGATCAGGCTTGCTGACTTGGTTGATGCATGTCAACGATCACAATTGCATGGATTGATGCTCATGATGTCAATCACTCGATTGTTTACAAACCGCCGCATATAGCTGGAATATTGCTGAGTGGGGCGTTAAACAACAAACAAACAAACAAACAGTGTGGGGCAGGACTGATCCACAAGAAACTCTCAGAAACAAAACTGGCGACCAATGAGTGAGTAGGGGTGTATGCCACTTTTAGCAATATTGCAGCAACCTCATAGCTGGGAATACCAAAACTGGCCTTCACACATTGTACCCATGTGATGGAAGCGAACCCGGGCCTTTGGTGCAACAAGTGAATGCTTTAACCACTGGCCTACCCTGCAGGCCCTATATAGACATAAAATAATGGTAACACCAACATCTCTTGTCGAAAAGGGCGGTCAGGTAGCCTAGTGGTTTTAGCGTTCGCTCATCATGCCGACATAGGTACAATATGCGAAGACCATTTCTGATTTCCCCTGCCATGATATTGCTGGCTTAATGCTAAAAACAGTGTAAAACCATACTCACTCACTTTGTCGAAAATCCCACAGCATAACATATATACTACTCAAAAGAAGTTTAAGAACACCTGATTCTTTTAATTCTGCCATGACACATTAATTATGAAAGAATCAGTATTCTTTAACTTCTTTTGAGTAGTATACATATATAGCCAGCCAATAAGTTCACAGGATCAAAACTGTACAGATTTAGATAAAGGGAACAATGACAGCCTATTACTTACCGTAGCTTCACAGCCGTTGCCACCAAAGCCGTTGCTGCACGTGAGGCAGTAGACGCCATCCGGGCTGATGTCACATGACATCTGGATGTACTGCTTCTTGGTGAAGCTGTGGATGACGCTCAGGTTACGAGTGTCATACAATCTGCATGGAAAACAATAAAACAATCACATTCATACATGTGTCAGTGATGTTAACGGCGTACAAACTGTTGTAATGGTTTGTGGTAATTGTCAGTGATGTTAACGGCGTACAAACTGTTGTAAAGGTTTGTGGTAATTGTCAGTGATGTTAACGGCGTACAAACTGTTGTAAAGGTTTGTGGTAATTGTCAGTGATGTTAGCGGGTATACAAACTGTTGTAAAGGTTTGTGGTAATTGTCAGTGATGTTAACGACGTACAAACTGTTGTAAAGGTTTGTGGTAATTGTCGGTGATGTTAGCGGGTATACAAACTGTTGTAAAGGTTTGTGGTAATTGTCAGTGATGTTAGCGGGTATACAAACTGTTGTAAAGGTTTGTGGTAATTGTCAGTGATGTTAACGGCATACAAACTGTTGTAAAGGTTTGTGGTAATTGTCAGTGATGTTAGCGGGTATACAAACTGTTGTAAAGGTTTGTGGTAATTGTCAGTGATGTTAACGGCGTACAAACTGTTGTAAAGGTTTGTGGTAATTGTCAGTGATGTAAGCGGGTATACAAACTGTTGTAAAGGTTTGTGGTAATTGTCAGTGATGTTAACGGCGTACAAACTGTTGTTAAGGTTTGTGGTAATTGTCAGTGATGTTCGCGGGCATACAAACTCTTGTAAAGGTTTGTGGTAATTGTCAGTGATGTTAGCGGGTATACAAACTGTTGTAAAGGTTTGTGGTAATTGTCAGTGATGTTAGCGGGCATACAAACTGTTGTAAAGGTTTGTGGTAATTGTCAGTGATGTTAGCGGGCATACAAACTGTTGTAAAGGTTTGTGGTAATTGTCAGTGATGTTAGCGGGCATACAAACTGTTGTAAAGGTTTGTGGTAATTGTCAGTGATGTTAGCGGGCATACAAACTGTTGTAAAGGTTTGTGGTAATTGTCAGTGATGTTAGCGGGCATACAAACTCTTGTAAAGGTTTGTGGTAATTGTCAGTGATGTTAGCGGGTATACAAACTGTTGTAAAGGTTTGTGGTAATTGTCAGTGATGTTAGCGGGCATACAAACTGTTGTAAAGGTTTCTGGTAATTTTCAGTGATGTTAGCGGGCATACAAACTGTTGTAAAGGTTTGTGGTAATTGTCAGTGATGTTAACGGCGTACAAACTGTTGTAAAGGTTTGTGGTAATTGTCAGTGATGTAAGCGGGTATACAAACTGTTGTAAAGGTTTGTGGTAATTGTCAGTGATGTTAACGGCGTACAAACTGTTGTTAAGGTTTGTGGTAATTGTCAGTGATGTTCGCGGGCATACAAACTCTTGTAAAGGTTTGTGGTAATTGTCAGTGATGTTAGCGGGTATACAAACTGTTGTAAAGGTTTGTGGTAATTGTCAGTGATGTTAGCGGGCATACAAACTCTTGTAAAGGTTTGTGGTAATTGTCAGTGATGTTAGCGGGCATACAAACTGTTGTAAAGGTTTGTGGTAATTGTCAGTGATGTTAGCGGGCATACAAACTGTTGTAAAGGTTTGTGGTAATTGTCAGTGTTGTTAGCGGGCATACAAACTGTTGTAAAGGTTTGTGGTAATTGTCAGTGATGTTAGCGGGCATACAAACTCTTGTAAAGGTTTGTGGTAATTGTCAGTGATGTTAGCGGGTATACAAACTGTTGTAAAGGTTTGTGGTAATTGTCAGTGATGTTAGCGGGCATACAAACTGTTGTAAAGGTTTCTGGTAATTTTCAGTGATGTTAGCGGGCATACAAACTGTTGTAAAGGTTTGTGGTAATTGTCAGTGATGTTAGTGGGCATACAAACTGTTGTAAAGGTTTGTGGTAATTGTCAGTGATGTTAGCGGGCATACAAACTGTTGTAAAGGTTTGTGGTAATTGTCAGTGATGTTAGTGGGCATACAAACTGTTGTAAAGGTTTGTGGTAATTGTCAGTGATGTTAGTGGGCATACAAACTGTTGTAAAGGTTTGTGGTAATTGTCAGTGATGTTAGTGGGTATACAAACTGTTGTAAAGGTTTGTGGTAATTGTCAGTGATGTTAGCGGGCATACAAACTGTTGTAAAGGTTTCTGGTAATTTTCAGTGATGTTAGCGGGCATACAAACTGTTGTAAAGGTTTGTGGTAATTGTCAGTGATGTTAGTGGGCATACAAACTGTTGTAAAGGTTTGTGGTAATTGTCAGTGATGTAAGCGGGCATACAAACTGTTGTAAAGCTTTGTGGTAATTGTCAGTGATGTTAGCGGGCATACAAACTGTTGTAAAGGGACCACTTATTTTAGTCCATTCAGACAGTAGTTTGTCATTAGCATTCCGAGTATTGTACATCATGAAATATAAAGCAAAAGACTGGGACAAAAAAAACGTTTGTTATATATGTCAGTTCATTATAAGCTTGTTCATTGTAAACATTGTTTACTTTACTAGTAAAATATGTCGTGTGCTGACATGGCTGGACTCAAACAGCAATCAACAGCAGCAACAGGAGCCTTCCAGAATGGTTTTGTACTGGAATTAGAGTTATCTCCCCTTGGTTGTTTACATGAACATGGCAAGCTTGATCGTTCGAGAAGTTTCTGGATGGGATAGTTTCTAGAAGCCTGGTAGTACCTATATACACGTATAGAGCGTGTGATACAGTGTATAGCCTACCTGACTTGCTTGTCCTCCCCCACCTGCACCACCAGACTACTGTTTGGGATCCACTTGACATCCGTCACCTGCAACAAACCAACTACAGATCAACAAAAAACACAGCCCGCCCGCACTATGTTTTTAAAAGTTATTGCCTGATAACCAATTTTCTTATCTTTTTAAGCCCAGTGCATGTACCTAGCATCAGAATGATACTTTCATAAGGCTTCCTGCCTGAAAGGGCCTCGAGACAAAAACAAGCATACAAACTCCATGACCAATATCATAAACAGCGCAGTTAAGCAGTGCGCAAGTAAAGGGAAGTAACTGCATGCTATATTGGATCACATATTAGAATTTATATATTTTTGGGGGGAAAATAGAAATAAAAACGAAACATGTAGCATACTTTATGATGATGTGGGCAGTGCCTGGGAACCAAGGCTATTATATTTATAGCCTTATTTATATTCTTTTCTTTATGGGTTTTCTAGACGAGTTTCAGTGTCGAATGTGAATTGATGGGTTGATTGAGTTACTAAAAAATAGGAAACAGATGTACACAGCCACACACACACATTTTACAAATAAATCAGATCAACCCCCTGGACCTGAAACATGGTGGTTGATTTTTCATTTAAAATGAGGCTACACCACATCACTTCTTCATGACATTCATTCCAAGCCTGTCAGTGGAGAGAATATTGAAATAATGTTACTGATACTAACTAGATTCTGTGGTATGCTGTTTTGCATGACGCACTTCGCTGTCTCCACATTCCACAATCTCACACTGTTGTCACGGGAACCAGTACACAGCATCGTATTGTCTACAACAACAACAACAACAGCATCAGGATCACACATACCAAGTTCATGTTAGACAGCACCATTCCAGGACTTAAGTTCAAACAGTGCACTGAAGTGGCATTGCAGATGCCCGATCTTCTCCATCCAGACCAGGGAATCTTAATATTACTTATATATCAAACTAGAATATGAATACCAATGTTTCCCACATTTGGATGTCAATGGTGCAACATAAATACTAATGTTTGCCAAGCTTCCCAAGGAGCGATGTCAATTGTGCCATATGAATACCAATGTTTCCCACGCTTCCTAAGGAGCGATGTCAATCGTGCAATATATATACCAAGCTTTCCCCGGCTTTTCAAGGAGTGATGTCAATCGTGCAATATGAATACCAATGTTTCCCAGGCTGTTCAAGGAGAGATGTCAATTGTGCAATATGAATACCAATGTTTCCCCGGCTGTACAAGGAGTGATGTCAATCGTGCAATATGAATACCAATGTTTCCCAGGCTGTTCAAGGAGTGATGTCAATTGTGCAATATGAATACCAATGTTTCCCAGGCTTTTCAAGGAGTGATGTCAATCGTGCAATATGAATACCAATGTTTCCCGGGCTTTTCAAGGAGTGATGTCAATCGTGCAATATGAATACCAATGTTTCCCAGGCTGTTCAAGGAGTGATGTCAATTGTGCAATATGAATACCAATGTTTCCCCGGCTTTTCAAGGAGTGATGTCAATCGTGCAATATGAATACCAATGTTTCCCCGGCTTTTCAAGGAGTGATGTCAATCGTGCAATATGAATACCAATGTTTCCCAGGCTTTTCAAGGAGTGATGTCAATCGTGCAATATGCATACCAATGTTTCCCCGGCTTTTCAAGGAGTGATGTCAATCGTGCAATATGAATACCAATGTTTCCCGGGCTTTTCAAGGAGTGATGTCAATCGTGCAATATGAATACCAATGTTTCCCGGGCTTTTGGAGGAGTGATGTCAATCGTGCAATATGAATACCAATGTTTCCCCGGCTTTTCAAGGAGTGATGTCAATCGTGCAATATGAATACCAATGTTTCCCAGGCTGTTCAAGGAGTGATGTCAATTGTGCAATATGCATACCAATGTTTCCCGGGCTTTTGAAGGAGTGATGTCAATTGTGCAATATGAATACCAATGTTTCCCAAGCTTCCCAAGGAGCAATGTCAATTGTGCAATATGAATACCAATGTTTCCCAAGCTTCCCAAGGACTGATGTCAATAGTGCAATATAAATACCAATGTTTCCCACACTTCCCAAGGGGTAATTATTGGAAAAAGAGCTGTACATAACTTATTTGTGTTTTTCAATATATAACCTAATGAATTGTGGCATGTTATTCTTATTGAACATATTTATGTCCAGTGGTTAAGTTATAAAGTGCAGGGCAAAAGAAATTATCACACCTCCATGTCAGAATGATGAGATCTGATTGGTCCACATGATCTTGATAAAATACTGTGTAACCCACCTTGGAGGGTGATACATTTTTTAGCAGGGTAATAAATCTCTAGTACCCCGCCACAAACAATGCAGGCTGCACATCAATTTCTTATAGGAAGAATAAATCCCTTATACCCCAATTCAAAGCAAAAAGACACATGCTTTTTCCGAGTCGATGGAAGTCATGTGACATAGCACAAGTTAACCTCAGCTAATTCAATCAACCTACCTGTTCGATTGAGCTGAGGTTAACCTTGCTAGTGGTATAAAGCCTAATGCAGGATGCATAAAACCCCATGTACCCCTCGTGATCTAGACTAGCATCTAGTCTCTGAAATGAACATATTTTACAGAAAAAACAGTTGTTAAATTATAGATATAAAATTTAATAAAAAGGAGCCCAGAGACTTCCTTCATTTTCAGATAGTGAGATACTGATACTGCAGTAATCTAGACTTGCCAAACATTATAGACTTGCATGGGCTGTATTGGATATATTTGTTTCAGGGTCTGTATGACAGACTACTTGTGATCCTGCTACAACTTATAGTATGCACCCTTGTTTGATGGTGGCTAAAATGAAACAAACAAGACATGGTTATTCAATGGGGATGTGGGGGTTTGCACCCCTGACATGTTTACCTGGGTTCAGGGTCACTGCAGTCACTACAAGGTCATGACCCTGAAACTCTCTCACAGCATTTGGGTTGCCTCTCTGCCACATCCTGACTGACTTGTCCCGGGAAGCACTGAACATGCCGTGACAGGCTGAACCGTAGCACACCTAGAATACATAGTAACCATGGTAACAGAATACATTGCAACACAACGCAGAATTTGTCGTAACCAAAATCATCAGGCTTACTTTTAAGAGCTTCCATCACAACAAAACAATAAGGTTATGTCTACATCTGCAACACATACCTTGGTCACCTCTCTTTCATGTCCTGTCCAGCGATCCTCAAGTCGGTTGTTGTGGTAGTCATACAGGACCACAGTCTGGAGTAAACAAACAACACAGTTGCTGAGTTCAACACTGCTTGGAACAAGCGGAGTCAGAGCTACAGACAAGCAGCGTATTTGCGTAAAATACCCAAAAAATATTCAAAACCCAATTACTTTCAATTTACTTACATACAGAAATGCATCCATTAAATGAAAAACTCAAATGTATAAAAACAGCTCGCGAGCTATTACGATAACACAATTACAAGCTAATTTACTTTCTGGGTCAAGTCTTTATATTTAGAACATTATTTCATTTTTTAAAAATCTTGAACATGTTGAAATGTTCACTAAGTTTGGGAAAAACCCAATAGAGTGATGAAAAGATGAGTGAAAAAATATTGTTTACCCAATGTAAAATGTAATAACCCAATTAAAATAGAAACCCTAGAGTAAAAACTCAATTGTTCAAAAAATTATCTGGAGCTCTCGGAGTACTGATTTCCTCTCTCCTCCAATACACACCAGCCTCTGTCTGATGACAGGTCATACACTGGGTCTCTAATAGAGGCTCTGTCCATCATGTGATGACATTAATGATCCTTATCACATTAACTTACGGCAAGTAATGATTACTCCCTTCACATAATAATGGCCGTTTACTGCAAATGTATCCTTTGTATGACTAAAAGATTTGGGATTTGGGATTTGGGAATTGGTTTGTATGTTTTGTTTGTTTAACGCCACACTCAGCAATATCCAAGCTATATGACGACGGTCTGTAAATAATCGAGTCTGGACCAGACAATCCAGTGATTAATATCTAACTCGGATGTTCACAAGCAGATAAGTAGTGGTATTGAAGCCATGTGGATGCAACGTGCAAGGATATCCTCCCTTTTTCAGACAATCCAGTGATTGACATAATGAGCACCATCCACGCAATTGGGATACAATGACATGCATCAACCACTCTTCCCAAGGCAAGGGCGTTAACTGACTATAAAAGTCCAGTTTCCACCCTTGCCGAACTTGGCTGGAATTTCCAGGCTTGACCGTAGCGCCACCAGTGGCTATTATGAGTTATGTCCCTTCCATGTTTCTCCTATTGACCAATAAGATTCCATCTCGCATAATGTTTGCATTTGCTTTAAACAATGGCGGTGCCCAGTGAAGATGATCAGATCTATAATCAAGCTCTATATTCCTTCCCTGCAAAGTGCATCAAATCACTTGAGCACCTTGATTAAAAACATGAAAGGATTTGGAAAATATCTGTCAAGGAAAAGGTTGGCGGTACATATGCTTTGAAAATCCTTCAGTCGACCTTCAGTGGACTCGTTAGTCCAGCCAAAATGTAACTCCGGAATTCCAGCCTAGTTCTGCAAGGGTGGAACTGGCCTTTTATAATCAGTTAACACCTCGGAAAGATGAAATCAACCAAGTCAGCGAACCTGACCATGCGATCCCATTAGTAGCCTTTTACGACAAGCATAGGCACCTTTTACTAGAGACATGGGTTGCTGAAGACCTATTCTACCCCAGATCTTCACAGGTCAACATACCTATGTAGCAGAAAACACAAGGGAACTACATTCCTCCCAACTAGCAAGTAACCTTCATACAATGTATCTAACACATCGTATGGCATTGCACACATCCTCATGAGATTTTTGTTAAATCAATTGATGGAAACATATCTGAAATTGTAAAAGCACTAAACAATGTCATTCCACTGAATGCAAACTTACATGGTTTTATCCAAATAAAGGTTGAACAATATGTTACATTACAATGTTGCCAAGATCAGCTCCACAAACATTACAAATTCAGACAACTCTTAAACAGAAAACAAATTTGAAATATCCTTTTCTATATTTTATATGTTTTCCCACCCAACCAGGGCTTTTGGCACAAAAATCTGTAAAGAATTTATTAAAAAAGTCTAGCCTTATTTTGATTGATTGCTTAATACAAGTTTTTTATTAATTTGAACTTACTATGATAAGTTAAGTCTCACCTTATCCTTGCTGCCTGAGAGACTGAGGCCAGTCTGGACCCCGGCGAGACTGACCACTGCCTCCTGATGCACTGGACTGCTAGACATCACTCCACCTTCTCTTTCTGGGCTGTCCGTCTGCTTGGAGGTTGAGTTGAAACTGGAAGAAGAATTGCACTGAGTGTCTGTGATTTGAGGGTTTTACATTGAGAGACAGTGAGTATGGTTTTAGCCACTTTTATCAATATTTCAGGAATATTCTGGCAGGTGACATTAGAAATGATCTCGATTGCAATATTTGGTACTGATGTTGGGAATCAAACCCTAAGCCTGTTTCATAAACAACTTCGCATGTGCAACTGTTTTGCGATACATTGCAGCCCCTATCTAATTTAGGATGTGACCATTGTGCTTTCTTGTGAGGTGGTTAGGGATGAGAATCTAATAACAAATTCATTGTAGCTTTAACGCTACACTCAGCAATAGTGAACCTATGCCTTATGACAGACGGTCTGTAAACAACTGAGTATGGACAAGACAAACCAATGATTGATATTATGAGCAGCAGTCCACACCGTCTGGGGATGAATAAATGCAATCAACCAATCAACACCTGATGAATTCATTCTAATCCAGAACCCATAGAATGGTAACAGAGTATGTAGTTATAGCCTTTCTTTCAAGATGGACTGTTGTACTAGATTTTAATGACTAGGTTTCAGAAGGCAGCCCTGATTGGCGTTCAGATCAGTCACCAAGGTGACTGTAGTTGCCAAAAAGTCCCACGCTGGGATTTGATCCACAGACCATCTAATTCAAGGTTGGCACCTTGTCCACGTCACCAAAGTGAGTGAGTGAGTGAGTGGGTGTAGTTTTAAGCAGCCTATAGCAATATTCCACCAATATCACAGCGGGGAACAGCAGAAATGGGCTTCAAACATTGTATCCATGTGGGGAATCAAACCTCAGCAGGACAGGTGAACGCTTTAACCACTAGGCTACCCCACCGCCTCACAAAGTGGTTAACCTATGTAAGGATGTCAGGTTGTTGCTATCAACCAACTTGAATGACTGGGTAATTTTGTTTTGTTCTGAATGTTTTATGCTTTGAAGTTTTGTTTCATAAAGTAGTCATCAGGCTGAGTTATTGCAAAACATATCAGATATTGCTTCTGCAATATCGATGCCCTTCCTACAGAATTTACATGAATCGATACATGGGTATCATATTATCATGACAACCCTCATACATACCTATACATACATATATCATAAATGCCATACTTTGATTCGTTAAAAGTCATATTTGTTTTTGTTGGACGATTCAATGTCAACACGTAATTCTCTCGATCACGTGCACGGGACCCTTGACGGTGACTGGTCAGACTGGTTCCATGTAAAAACTAATTCCCCGGCAATAGCGATCAGCTGCTTCGCTTAGGGTTATTATTATTTTGAATATGTTTAGTAAAAGCTGCATCTAAATTAACAAGATATTGGAATATATTATTCCTGATAAAAAAATAGTTTCAGATACAACTTTTGCCGATCCTTGCATTAAAATACTGTAAAGTTATATCATTGGGTGTGTCTTGACCGAATCACCGGTAGATTCCAAGAAAACGTGTGTACAGCTGATTGCTGTGTCCGGCTTAGTTTACAAGAAAATACACAAGGTAATCTTAATCCCTGGATATAAAACAATGCCTTGCTGAACAAAAAATTCAATTTAAACGGTTAATCAACATGTCTAGTGATTTTTTATCTCAAATTTCGAATTTGTACTGACGAAGTTTCTCATCACCAGTTCGTGTGCCGGACTTCACTGAAGGGGTACGGTGTAATTTTCTTCTGCGCAGGGTTGAAGATCCAGGATTTTAAAATTTGGGGGTTCAACTTGGGCCATTTGGAACCCCCACAAAAAATAAAAAATACAATATATAAACCATTATTAATTTTACTTTAAAAACCAACTCAACATGTTCTCATAGTAGGCAACATTTTGGGGGGAGGGGGTGGGAGAATATTTTATATATTTACATTTAAAAAAGGGGAGTGGCCACCCCCAGGACTGCCACCCCAGCCAAACCCCAACCCCTCACCCGGATCCGCCACTGGACTTTGGTCAACTCTTGCACATGCTCAACAATATAACATCAAAGTGAAGATCAATGTTAGAATTGGTCTTCACCAACCAACCAATGCTTGTCGTAAGAGACGACTAACGTGATCTGGTGATCAAGCTCGCTGATCTGGGTCAGTTGATCATATTAAGACTCATGATGTAAATCACTGGATTGTCTGAGCCAGACTTGATTATTTAGAGACTGCAAAGCTGGCATATTCTAGAGTGCAGCATAAACAACAAACAAACTTTAACATGCTTCAGGGACTCTACTTCACAATGAATGACGACATAAAAGTTGTTTCATTCAAGTGTTCTAAATCCTGATCTATTTTGTTTTATGCCATTATTTTAACAAGGAAGATAATATTAGGAGGCAGATATGACACTTGCAAAATATAACGTCGTTCGTCATTCAAATAAGGGAAACCCCATTATTTACCATTATTAACCATTAACTGCCCCAAATGATCGAAACATTACAAAGCAGCTGTGCGGAGTTTTTATAGGAATTCCCTGACCCCAGTGGGTAATATATTATTAAGTTATGTAAAAATAAATCCAAATTCATTTAACCTTTGTACATAGCTCTGTTAAGCACACTGCTGTCATTTTACCGCATACCGGCAAATATTAATTTGTTTAGACATGACCACATTTGTCTACCAAATCTACCTGTCGTATTTCGGTGACTTCTTCTTGCTGAACAATTTTCCCATTCCGTGCAACACGTGCTTTTTTTCAATTATAGATGACAAATGTCATATTTGTATAATTCCGTTGTCTATTTTCAGGCAGGGATATAGTGCATAAGCAGATATACAATGGAATCGTCTCGGAAAGCAAGGATGCAGAATGAGAGTTGTCCGCCCTTGTATATGCTCATAAACTGGGACCCGTCTATATAAAAGTAAACGTTACAGACACGAATCTGTGTGCGCATAAGGACACACAAACTTGTCACATTATGTTCTCACGTTATTGATCAAAGCGCTCGTACAATATATGTAAGCTCTCCGGTGGGAAACACATTAGAAATTCTCGTTATGTGAGATGATTAATTAGTGGCGGGTATGAGTGGAATGTTAGTTGCCTTGTGTTTGATTTGTTATATTTTACTTTGTATGTATTTGTTGGTTAGTTTTTATTGCTCAGTAAAATTTGAAATACCACAAATGAATGTTTTTTACTTTCAAAACACATTCATATTATTTTAATGTTTCATTATTTCCATTTGTTTTGTTTCGTAGTTTTTCTGGTTTTGAGTAGACTTTGCGTGGTTTTGTTCTCCTAGGTTGTAAGAAGCAAGTGTTTCTTTCTATAGCTTGAACCATTAGTGTTTAACGTTGTGGGTTACAATGATATGTCCATCGGGAATCGGGTATGAAGCACACTAGAGTCTTGTATAACATGATATATTTACCTACATTCTCATGTTACAAATACTATACATGCATCTGTTGTAGACTACCACGAGATGTTAATACGTTCAAAGTACGTCGCATTCTTTCTCGTCGCTAATGGGTCATCGGGAAGTATATTATTACTACTGGTATATGTCAGTAACGCTGGAGACTATGCTTGTCGTAAGAGGCGATTAACGGGATCGGGTGGCCAGGCTCGCTGACTTGGTTGATGCATGTCATCGTATACTATCCAATTGCGTGGATCGATGCTCATAATGTCAAACACTGGATTGTCTGGTCAAGGCTCGATTATTTACAGACTGCTGTCATATAGCTGGAATATTGCTGAGTGCGTCGTTAAACATCAAACAAACAAACAGTAACGCTGCTATGACATGAATGTTGTTGCAGTCAAAAGAAGGAAAACTCATGTAGCCGCTTGCAGGAACCATAAAAGAACTAAACTTTGTAGATTCGTTGTAAAGTTTATCCAGACAAATACTTTGTTAGGTGGTTGTGATGTTGTATATGCAGAGAAAAACTCTCTCACCTTTATCAGAGTATAACATTGTCACATTGAATTGTCAGAACTGTGCCCGACAACACACACCTAAATACATATACGAGTGACAGTACCTCATCGGGATATAAGGGCACTGCTGATTTAAAAAATACTGTCTAATATTATGCCCCGTTCACATGCACAACATTTACTCACATAAGTATTTTTGCACGTGTGTAACTGTACATACGTGTGTATATGTGAATTTACTATGCGTTCACATAAAAATTAGCTAAGGTGTGTAAATAAGGTACGTAAATGGCGTAAGGCACACCTATCCATCGGTCTGTTCACGTCTTCAACATGAAAATGTTGTTTTCCAGCCAAAGTCACATGAGAAGAGAGTTACCTTACAGAAATCTTCACATAGAGCAATATGTGTTTAATTTAATCTATACACAATTTTTTGTCTCCTGGAAACCCAAAGAAAGCTACGTCGGCCCAGCACTAGATGTCCGCATTAAAGTTGGTATTGTTGCTGTGTACTGAATAGTACTGTGTGTGTGGCTGCTTGTACTAGTCCAGACTGATGCTGATTTATACTGCTAGCTCACTGAGATACCATGCCGCAGTTTAACATGACTACCCCACTCAGACACAGTATACTGACTCCGAGCCGACCAGTCCTTGTTTTAGTCCCTTAATGCCGAGCGCCAGACAGGGTAACAACAAGTACCATCTTTTAACGTCTTTTGGTATGACGCAGTCGGGGATCGTACCCGGGACCTTCCGCTCTCCGGGCGGACGCTCTACCACTAGACCACGGAGGCGGTCTGCAACTATGTATTTAATCGACAAACAGTTAATAAGATCAAAATCACCCGCACTTCTTGTGCTTTTTATTTTAACTCCGTTTGGCAAAGTGCGCATGGCAGTGCTACTGACTCGATGTCCGCAACACGTTCCCATGTAATGACCTGTCTGCATTATATGTATTTCAGTATATTTGTATAGTTGTATAATTTGTCTATTTGTCAACAGTGGATGCAACCTTTTGGAAAAGAAGAGGTGCATTTTGTAATGAAAAGTTAACATAGAATATTTGTGTTAGATGAATAGGATTTTGTTTTGTTTTTATTTATTTTTATTCAGAAGCCCCTGTTACAGTCTGGAGATCCGAGCCCAGGGTATCCAAGAACCACCATTACCTAATTATTTTATACAAAATAATTTCAAACAATTGTCTTGTGATGTTTTATGACATAAAAAGGACATACACATCGCATCCACACATCATTCACACAGAAGTATTTAAACAAGTTTGTACCAGGTCAAGTACATGAGATTTACATCGACGGTTCTCAAGAAGACGACGATACAACATCCATTGTGAATAAAACTTACTCTGAGTGCTTCGATTAAAATGAACACATTTTTCAATATTGTAACGACAGTGTAATTCTCGCTACAAAAGGTTTAAGTTCAAAGAAATATCCTGCAACTTGCATTTATAAATGAAATATTTGGCAAAGAATATAATTAAGAAGAAGTTTGTTGCATAAAATCGATGTAGTGTTGGTATTGTTTACACTTTAGACCCGTGGAGATTCCGGGGTAGAATAGTTCTTCAGCAACCCATGCTTGCCGTAAAAGGTGACTATGCTTGTCGTAAAAGGCGACTAACGGGATCGGGTGGACTTGGTTGATGCATGTCATCGATCCCAATTGCGTGGATCGATGCTCATGATATCAATCACTGGATTGTCTGGTCCAGACTCGATTATTTACAGACCGCCGTCATATAGCTGGAATATTGCTGAGTGCGGCGTTAAACAACATACCAACCAACCAACTGCACCTCTTTAAATGAGATTTAATGGCAAATTCGCTTCGTGTCATAACTTGACAATTTATACTATGTTTTTTATGATGTCAGGTATATAGAGGCGGATCCAGGATGTTGATAAAAGCGGGGCACGTGACTATACCCAAGTCACGCAATAAACAACTAACACATGACATAATTGCAGTTAACGTTTCTGAAAAAGGAGGATATCCTTGCACGTTTCATCCACGTGGCTTCAATACCACTACTTCTCTGCTTGTGAACATCCGGGTTAGATATTAATCACTGGATTGTCTGGTCCAGTCTCGATTATTTACAGACCGCCTTCATATAGCTGGAATATTTGCTGAGTGCGGCGTTAAACAACAAACCAACCAACCGGGTTGGATTTGTCCTTGTCTTGCCATGCTTGTCGTAAGAGGCGACTAACGGGATCGGGTGGTCAGGCTTGTTGACTTGGTTAACACATGTCATCGTATCCCATGCTCATGATGTCAATCACTGGTTTGTCTAGTCCGGGCTCGATTATCTACAGCTCGCCGGCATACAGATAAAATATTGCAGACTTCGGCGGTAAACAACAACCAAACACTACATTGATCGTTATCGATACTGAGCTCCCATCTCCCCGATCTAATGACTCATACGCCATGCATTCGGCTCATCATATCTAGTAATCGCCAACCTTTTAGAAATATACAATATGTGCATAGAGATGTTAATCGAGTCATACATTAAAACCATAAACGTACATTTTGCACAATTAACACTAACTCGTTTCTGTTTCCCTTTTGGTATCATATGAATATTGGGCGGTCGGGTAGCCTAGTGGTTAAAGCGTTCGCTCGTCACACCGAAGACCCGGGTTCGATTCCCGACATGGGTACAATATGTGAAGCCCATTTCTGGTGTCCCCCGCCGTGATATTGCTGGAATATTGCTAAAAGCGGCGTAAAACCATACTCACTCACTCATATGAATATTGTCCCTATATTTATACAGAGCAGATGTGCCAGTTTCACAAAAGACATCATTTTCTACACCTTGACTGGAAATGTGACAGAGACAAAAAGCAAAGGTCAAAAGCGCCATGATTGTAAAATAAACAACACTGAAAATACGGACATAAATATTATTTGCAATACGGTAAAATCAACCATGTTTAGAAGTTACAATGCATGCAGTACAACACTTACGTGGCCCACGAGGACGATGTCATTAACCCTCATTCACAACACATACATCAATAACAAATCACCTCTCTTCATTTACCGCTCAGATTACACAAACGCGTGCAGTTGGTAGCATGTGGCCTATTTCACCTTAACAGGCATTAACTGGTTCGTTTAATCAGTCGTTAATGTGACTGATTCCCACGAATCAATAACCGCACGAGGAATATCTATATTTACTCAAATCCAAAAGAACGTCAAACTTTCCAATTTCGGATAACTGGATGTGTGGTTATTGTAAAACTAGACACCTTTGGAAGATCTTACCAGTACCGTGGGCACCTGTCTATTACGTATAGCCGAATCTATAAGGCGAAAGGAAATATAAAGCGCAGAGCAAAAGAAAGTATATTTGATGGTGATCAGACCAACATCTAGTCTCTGAAATGAACATATCGTTCAGAAAATAAACAGTTCCTAAATTATCTTAATAAAAAAATATATAAAAAGGAGCCCAGAGAATCTCTTCATTTTCAGATACTGCAGTAATCTAGACTTGCATGGGCTTGCATGATATATTTGTATCAGGGTCTGTAAGACAGACAAGATGGTGATAAAAAATGAAACAAACAAGACATGGCTTTTCGATGGTGATGTATTTGATACGGGTATCATAGTTTTGTTTTGGACCTTAAGTTTGCAGTGTTTCGGCGACTGTTTTCAGCCTAGTAAGGTATTGTAATTCTTTGGTCAAATCCAATTTTTAAGCGTACATTGTACTTTCTTTTGCGCAGCAGTTAACCTACGGCAATGCCAAACCACTAACAGAATTCACTTAAGGGACTAAATAAGTGCTTTGAACATGTCTTATATGTAATAATTAACTTGAATGAAAGCAGGGTAGGAAAACAAAATTACTGTAAATCCTTGAATACACGACTGTCTTGATTAAACGCCTGATCCAACTACCCCCTTGAATAAACGTCGGGTCGTATTTTAGTCAATAAAATTTAGTTAGTGGATCCTAACAATTATTGTCTGTTAGGATCCATACCGTATACCGTATCAATTTGAGGGACAGAACGTGAGAAAAAAAAGCAAGACTTTCACATAAAAATCACCCTCTGAACAATATTAAACGCCTGCCTTGAATAAACGCCGGGTCTCGGGATCTTACGAAATTAATAAACGCTGGGCGTTTATTCGAGGATTTACGGGTAGATTACAAAAGACACAGCACAACGAGCAGATTTGCATTATAATGGTTTCGATCAACATCATCTTAAATAAGTTTTTTCATTAAGTACTCCCTGACACACACAGTGGATACGTTACACTACCTTGAACTTAATTGACATAGCTGCAAGTAATTGGACGCACTGTAAAACCACACAGGACCAGGGAAGTTAGTGTACCAAAACATCATTAAAGTTATTGATATTTCTTCACCAGTACTCATGTACAGCCGTCAGAACAACATGCCTGTTTACATATATATAGCGTGCTGTGTTTACCAATTCACACGACGCTGAACTGGATATTAAAGAAGGGAATCTTGCGAATATTCAGGATATAAAATATATTGTTTGCTTTGAGAAAACCATTGAACGTGATATTCAGTCATAAAACGAAGACAAATAGCCGAAGGCTGCAGGCAGTAGATATCATCTTCAGACACACTGTGTACTGATAATACCTACATCCGGGTCGGCCAGTGCAGTAAGGTTCACCATTGTTGTGGCAAAGTGATGGGGAACAAGCAATATTATTATTTTTTTGTTGCTGTTGCTTAACGCCGCACTCAGCAATATTCCAGCTATATGACGGCGGTCTGTAAATAATCGAGTCTGGACCAGACAATCCAGTGATTGTCAACATGAGCATCGATCCACACAATTGAGATCGATGACATGCATCAAATAAGTCAGCGAGCCTGACCACCCGATCCCGTTAGTCGCCTTTGACGGCAAGCATGGTTTGCAGGAGACCTATTCTATATCTTCACGGGTAACAAGCAATATTCACATCATAGATATACTACTCAAAAGAAGTTAAAGACCATTTGATTCTTTCATATTACTATAGTTACTATATCAGAGATACGTCATCAGCAACATATGTCTGACGTGCTCTTCATTTTGATAGATGTAACATCTTACTTTAATCAAAATTAAATATAGATTTATTTATTTTCACGCCGTATTTTAGGTGTCCTCAAGTGAGGTGAGGTGAAATGGGATTTAACGTCGCGTCCAAGATTATTGCACTTATATAGCGACGTGCATGCACGTGGATGTGTGTGTGTGGCTGCTTGTACTAGTCCGGACCGATGCCGATCTATAGTGCTAGCGTACTAAGATACCATGCCGCAGTTTAACATGAATACCCCACTCAGACACACTATAGCCGACCAGTCCTTGTTTTAGCCCCATTATGCCGCCAGACAGGGTAACAACAAATACCATCTTTTAACGTCTTTTGGTATGACGTGGCTGGGGGTCGAACCCCGGACCTTCCGCTCTCCGGGCGGACGCTCTACCATTAGACCACGGAGGCGGTCTGTCCTCAAGTGAAAATTGGTACTATGATCTAATATGCAGATATATATAAATAACATGACGTCAATTCTATATATGTAATTACCAGGTTTCTGTCGTGTTGTAATGCCGTAAAATATCGTACATTGTGCTGACATGTCTTTTTTTTTTAATTTGTGACATAACAGTTTTAAAAAGTAAAACTTCAACAATTAAACTGTCTTGTGGAATATGGGATCCGGGTCAGTGACCCTTGAAAACCAAACATATTATCCTCCATTTCTTCGGAAATATGGGTTCTCTGCACTTCTATACATATTTCTGAGACCAGCTTATCATTGTTCACGGGGATTGGGTCACGTGACCAACACACATTCGTATTAACCTGAACCTCTGGTTAGATACATATATTTTTTTAAGTTTATGAAAACGTACCTAGAAAACGTATATGATGTACATGTACACATGTATGTGCAAATAGCAAACTTACCTATGCGTTCTGGTCCAAATTCAATTAGCGCGGTTAAATGTGCAGGTAAGCTGGCGCTTCATTGAAAACACGGTATGCTCATCTCCATTCGATTATGATAAAATTTAAAAAAGTGAACTCATTGGTGTTACCCAATACTTTGAGTATAGGTACTTGATCTGAATGAAGGAAACACTAATAACAACCATTAAACAAGGTATAAACTAAAATATTATTTCTTTTTCCCAAAATATCTTCTTTTTAATTTTGTAATCCATGTAGTAAGTACGGGTTTTACATACATACGGTGAATGTAGTATAGATCTATCGAATCTATGTTCAACCATTTACAACACTGGCAAGCAGAGGCGAACGTTCGCATACAGCTTTCCGATTAGTTTTGTTTTTGCATGGTAGTTTAGTCTTAGGGGCGGCGGGGTAACTTGGTGGTTAAAGCGTTGGCTCGTAACGCCGAAGGCCCATGGTGCCGTTGTACAAAACAACCTTACAACGACTGTCAAATGTCTTGGTTAAGGTATGGGAGTTACGATCACCTTAGCGCTAAGATCGCTTTGTACAACGGCACCCAGGTTCGATTCCCCACATGAGTACAATGTGTGAAGCCTATTTCTTGTGTCCCTCGCCGTGATATTGGTGGAATATTGCTCAAAGCGGCGTAAAAGCCAACTCACTCACATATGACAGGTATTTTAAAGTGTGTCTCAGTGGGATACAGAAAAGCGCCAAATGTCAAGTTGTCTGTTGTCCCTAAAGCTTCAAATACTGTATTAGTAAAGGGGACTCGGAAATTGGAATAAAATAATAAAAAAGATAGTATGATATAAAAATTTCCTAGTTTAGAACACATGCCTCTTTTGATACATCCAGATTATTTGCACTGATGTGCGCGAGGATAGATATTCTGGTTCGTGCTAGTTTTGCGCTACGTCACGTTTATCACGTTTGCTATTCTCTTTGCAAACTACTAAAAAAATCCTTTACCTTCTGTTTACGCCTGGTGTAATTAAATATTAAACACTCGATTTATATCTGACATTGATCTAGATGAACGTTTCGTTTTTCACGCTTCTATCCTTTCTCTGATATTTGGGAATAATCTTCCAAATATGTTATACCAAGTATGACAAGTTCGTATAAACAGCATATAGGTCACGAGATATTCCTGATAGAATATCAGGTATTTTGTTCCAGTACTAAGAAGTGCGTAGATACATTGGCTCTGCTGTAAAAGAAACACAGGAAGCGGAAACTAAAGCAAGCAAGAACGCATGCGCGGTAGTCAATTGACCGACGTATCGATTTGTGTGTTTCGCACTGGGATGCACCTTCAAGATAAGATTTAGTAGTCAAGTCTGCAATAATCTGATAACCATTGAGGGGACATCAAAACGGATACGACACCAACATATCAGGCCTCGGGCAACTTGGATTTACCCTTCAGACAGTGGCAAAACAGTGTTCTTCGAACAGGTGCCCGCTAGTGAGGCGGATTTGACAGCAGCTGACAGTGAAGAATTTGTGAAACGTGGGCAATTCAGCCGTGTAGTCTTTTCAAGTGACGCGCGCCCTTGGACATTTTGCCCTCCGAAATGGTTAGGCAGCCAACACGGAATGATTCATACCAATTTTGAGGAATTGGATCACCTTAGAACCATGGGCAACGGCTGAGTCTTTGAGGAGGGCTTCTGTATATTTGACAGTTGCAACGGTTGTAACAGGTGGCTGGCAGTGTATATACAGTCCACTATTGTTTACAGTGGGTGACCCCCGCTAGGGTCAGCCCTTCCGCTGTAGTACTGCTGTCACCGTGTAGATTGTAGTTTATTCGTTACATTATGGTCCTGGTGTCAACATGATGTCCTTCATGTCTAAGAAAAAGAAGTATAAATTTCAAGTTACCCTAGTTGTAGAAGAACTATCATCAATGACATTCCCAAATGGAATATTCTTTGCCAAAGTCAGACTGCATGAAGGAGGGAATTTCTTGGATCACTCTTCTCGGTAAGACTTGAGTTTCTTCTCATACATTTTGTTAGCATAAAGAATCTGTGATAAATATCAGTACAGCATGTTTACCTGGGGAGACATAGTAGATCTAGATTTTCCTGTTTGTTATATTGGGTTTCAGGATCTTCTATCATGTCTAGGTTGAGACAGATCTACACATTAAGAGACATATGATTTTTATACATGCAGATAATTACATTGTGAGAGAGTTACATATTTGTCAATGCCATTATCATGATCATTTTGTTAGGATATAGCCAATTATATTTTCTACTAACAGTGTCAGCTTGTCTGATCCATTGTTAAGGACAGTGATGTGGCAGTCATTCATTTTGCTGCTCACTCACTCATCATATGCTCATGAACTTCAGTTGTTGTTGACACGACAAATGAAGATCGGCTCAATGGTTACTTTGCTAGCTCATCACACAGAAGGCTGGAGTTCGATTCTTAACAACATTCTTTAAGCACTCTCACACTCACTCACTCACTCACTCACTCACTCCCAACCCACCCAGCCACTATGTCACTCACTCACTCGCCCACTCACTCACTTCCCACCCAGCCAGCCACTATTTCACCCAGTCAGCCAGCCACTATTTCACCCAGTCAGCCACTCACTCACTTCCCACCCAGCCAGCCACTCACTCACTTCCCACCCAGCCAGCCACTCACTCACTTCCCACCCAGCCAGCCACTCACTCACTTCCCACCCAGCCAGCCACTCACTCACTTCCCACCCAGTCAGCCACTCACTCACTTCCCACCCAGCCAGCCACTCACTCACTTCCCACCCAGCCAGCCACTCACTCACTTCCCACCCAGCCAGCCACTCACTCACTTCCCACCCAGCCAGCCACTCACTCACTTCCCACCCAGCCAGCCACTCACTCACTTCCCACCCAGCCAGCCACTCACTCACTTCCCACCCACCCACCCAGCCACTCACTCACTTCCCACCCACCCAGCCAGCCACTCACTCACTTCCCACCCAGCCAGCCACTCACTCACTTCCCACCCACCCAGCCACTCACTCACTTCCCACCCACCCAGCCAGCCACTCACTCACTTCCCACCCACCCAGCCAGCCACTCACTCACTTCCCACCCACCCAGCCAGCCACTCACTCACTTCCCACCCATCCAGCCAGCCACTCACTCACTTCCCACCCAGCCAGCCACTCACTCACTTCCCATCCAGCCAGCCACTCACTCACTTCCCACCCACCCAGCCAGCCACTCACTCACTTCCCACCCAGCCAGCCAGCCACTCACTCACTTCCCACCCACCCAGCCAGCCACTCACTCACTTCCCACCCAGTCAGCCACTCACTCACTTCCCACCCACCCAGCCAGCCACTCACTCATTTCCCACCCAGCCAGCCACTCACTCACTTCCCATCCAGCCAGCCACTCACTCACTTCCCACCCAGCCAGCCACTCACTCACTTCCCACCCAGCCAGCCACTCACTCACTTCCCATCCAGCCAGCCACTCACTCACTTCCCACCCACCCAGCCACTCACTCACTTCCCACCCAGCCAGCCACTCACTCACTTCCCACCCAGCCAGCCACTCACTCACTTCCCACCCAGCCAGCCACTCACTCACTTCCCACCCAGCCAGCCACTCACTCATTTCCCACCCAGCCAGCCACTCACTCACTTCCCACCCAGCCAGCCACTCACTCACTTCCCACCCAGTCAGCCACTCACTCACTTCCCACCCAGTCAGCCACTCACTCACTTCCCACCCAGCCAGCCACTCACTCACTTCCCACCCAGCCAGCCACTCACTCACTTCCCACCCAGTCAGCCACTCACTCACTTCCCACCCAGCCAGCCACTCACTCACTTCCCACCCAGCCAGCCACTCACTCACTTCCCACCCAGCCAGCCACTCACTCACTTCCCACCCAGCCAGCCACTCACTCACTCACTTCCCACCCAGCCAGCCACTCACTCACTTCCCACCCAGTCAGCCACTCACTCACTTCCCACCCAGCCAGCCACTCACTCATTTCCCACCCAGCCAGCCACTCACTCACTTCCCACCCAGCCAGCCACTCACTCATTTCCCACCCAGCCAGCCACTCACTCACTTCCCACCCAGCCAGCCACTCACTCACTTCCCACCCAGCCAGCCACTCACTCACTTCCCACCCAGCCAGCCACTCACTCACTCACTTCCCACCCAGCCAGCCACTCACTCACTTCCCACCCAGTCAGCCACTCACTCACTTCCCACCCAGCCAGCCACTCACTCATTTCCCACCCAGCCAGCCACTCACTCACTTCCCACCCAGCCAGCCACTCACTCATTTCCCACCCAGCCAGCCACTATTTCGCCCAGTCAGCCCCTCACTCACTGAGCCACCCACCCACTCATGATTAATAACATGTGGACCAGCTGTAGTTTTTCATCGAAGTTTGTATATTGCAGCCAATCAAGTTGATGGCCAAGATAATTACACAAGGTGTAATTGATTGGATCTGTTTAATTTAGTTACATGCCACAAACACTGCAAATACCACCTAACGTGTTTGTTGTTAGTTACAAATTGCTAAAATTGCTAATTATTGTTGCTTCTGAACAAGCTTGTGTGGCTGGAGTAATGAGATGCCACTGAGTGTTCTCCTTCTAATGTGCTGATCAACACTCACCCTAGGGAGTTTCAACATGAAAGTGCTATGTAGTCACATTTTTAGGCTGTTAGAGAAACATAGAAAGACTTATGAAAGTCAAGGAAATAAACTTAATGTTTTATAAGCATGATAAGGAAGAGAATATGGATGTCAACTTCTATATTGGGGAACACAAGGTTTCAGAGTACATGCTTACTCCTTCATGTCCTCCGAAACGTGTTCCTCATATATAATAAACATAAAGAAGTTGACATCCATAAAATCTCTTGCTTATGTGTATCACTTCTAAATGCCTTTTAAATTAAAGACTTTGTTTTATGTTGACAAACAAAGATTAAGAATTGCTTTGAAAACAAATCCTGATACAGTAAACTATGGTTATAACAAACTCAAAGTTACCACTAAATTTGGTTATTATAGTTTGTTATAAGCATATATACAGCAAATGGAAAGGGCAAAATAACCCAGTTTGTTATATCCGTCCGTTCGTTAAACATTTGTTAAGGCGCGTTTGTTGTAAACATAATTTACTGCATATTAAATGTTTTAAAGCAGAAAATCTCAAGGACACCAGATTCCCTCTTGTTTCTAAGCAACTATCTCTTATTGTTATCATCATGATCATGTTAACATTAATGCATCATTAACTAACAGCATAAACAAATAAATGCTTAGATCATTGTAGATTCCAGTTTCCTGGGTTTAGTACACATATGTAATAATTTCATCAGAATACTGAAAATACAGAGATATAGCCTGGTACTATATTCCATAATCATCATAATAAGCACTCTGAGTGCTCAGAAAATTGACTGGTGGGGGGAGTGGGGCTCAACTGTACACCACAAACTTAATTTGTTTTCAGAAATCAAACAGTAGTGAACAAATTTCGTTCAAAAGTTGATGGAACTAAACCTTTTTTGATAGTAATTACTAGGCAATTATATACCTCACCTGCACTGCTGTTTTCTGTAAGAACTATATATTATACACAAGGAAATATGAACTGTTATATCTTAGGAGGGACCGCTTTTAAAGACTACTTAGAGACTGGTCTACAAGTTGTCGCTTTTGAGAGAACAGAGCTTAACATGCTTAATACGGCAAATATGGTAGGCTGGGTAACAGTAAGAAATATTCTCTTGGCAGGACCTCATTCTTTGTAGGGGCGGTCGGGTAGCCTAGTGGTTTAAGCGTTCGCTCGTCATGCCAAAGACCAGGGTTCGATTCCTGACATGAGTACAATGTGTGAAGCCCATTTATGGTGTCCCTCGCGGTGATATTGCTGGAATATTGCTAAAAGCGGTGTAAAACCATACTCACTCACTCACTCATTCTTTGTGGTGACATTATTTGGGGTGAGTGGGAGAGAAATGATTATTCTCCTTCGTTTAGTTATAATGTTATAACTTTAAGGTTTAAGAAGCCTTTCCACCATCCACTGTTTCATTACAGTAACTTAGCTGCAAACTGCCATCTCATATTTTACCCGGCGAGCCAATATTCATCACGTGACAGGTCAACACTGAATACCGATCAGGTGACTTATCAATATTCGATGTCAGTGTCAGTCACGTGATTTGGGGGTCTACATTGAATTGTATTGTTTTGTCATGTGGTACAGATACACATTTTTTATTTTCATGAGCCTGACGCCCCTACTGAAAGTTAGTGAAAAGCAGCTGGAAAAGAAATAAATTACATGAATTAAGCATGAAACAATTTATTTTTGTTATGTTTCACTCTTGTAATATAGACCCTCGTATGCTATATAAAATGTTATAGAGAAATTCCATGTCTACATCACTTTTAATGATTCAAGAAGCCAGCTGCACATGCTGTAGTTTTAACTCCATTACAGAATGAATTTCATATTTACCTCGTCAAGAGTAATCATTCATTTTGTTATACCGAAATTCGCTTTAGTTTTTATGAAGTCTTTAAAATGTCCTCTATTCATTACAGTAACTTAGCTGTGAACCGTGAAGTGTTCGTACAAGACGTCATCTTGTTTTCTGGCAGATGAGTCAATATTCATCACGTGACAGATTAAAACTGAATACTGATCATGTGACAAGTCAATATTTGAAGTCAGTGTCAGCACATGATTTGGGGGTCTACATTTAAATGTATTGTTTTGTCACATGGTACGGATTGATCAATGGAATTGAAGATTCTTTATAGAGGTTTAACAACATATATTCTTAAAGCATTGTTAGTGAAAGATACGGGAACTAAATTATCACTCTTCAGGAATAGACAGAGAAGCATGTACTACATTTTTTTTACGCATGCATTTTGAATCATCATCCATGATAAGTGTTAGGCTAAAAAAATAATAGTCTTGGTT